GATGATTTGTTGATTATATTTTCGTTCATTTTAAATGTAATTTAATATTGGTATTGCAGGGAATAGGAGAAAAGAATAGATATGAAGGATATAAGAGTGTTATTTTCAAAATTATTGTACGTACTTTGTTTAAGTGTATATTATATCATAGTTACAATTTCATTTTCATTATAAAAATTTAGTTCAGTTAAGATACGAGAAAAAAATACTTGAGTCGATTTTTGTTAAATTTGAAATTCTTCGTAATCTAAATTAGTTTCTAAGTTATATGTACAAAATGATGAAGAGTTACGAGTTATTACGAGTTATTTCAGTTGCAAGTCCTACTTTTCATATTTCGTTGGTTCGTTTAATCAAATTTAACTATAAATTGTTGTTAAAACACAATTGAAATTTTATTTTAAACTTTTTCTAATATAAGATCAGAACATTAATTTTTGGGATTCAAAATTAAATTTTAGGATTTGATTAAAAAAATAAAATAAACGAAATCTTTAACATTAAAAGATCATTAATTTAGAATACCCTCTAATCAAAAAATTTTTATTCATACACCTTCATTATGAAAATATTTAATGGAATTTTAAAATAAAAATTTCCTCCAATATTATTCGCGAATTTATTGAACACAAATATGAAAATCCTTGAATTTATTGTACAAAAATTTAATTATAAAGAGAAAGATGAAAATCAATCCTGTAAAATTAAATTTTTAACTAAAAAATCATATTCAGAAATTGGAATTAAGCTAAAACAAAAAAAAGAAACCAAAAATCTATTACAAAAAAAAAAAATTGAAAACCCCAAATGTAATCAATCCTTTCATTCATGATTTCCTTTTTATTAACAACTAAACCGAAAAATAGAATAAAAAAATTATCAACAAAACAAAAATGAATGACATTTTCCCAATTTGATCGTTTTTTATTAACTCATTCTGTCTCCGAAACTCTCCATTTGTTCTCCTTCCTCTCCATATATATGTACTATACTCTAAATCTCTTCCACATTTTGCTTTGTTATAAGAATTTGTCTAACATAAATTACTATATACCTTTTCCTACTACACATTTTTGTTTTTATTTTGTTGAAAAACCCTTCGTCCTCCGATATTTTGAGTCAATCATTAATAACCATGGGACTTAACCTCTATATTTTTTTTATCAACATTTTATTTTTTTTTCTACCTTTATATACCATTTATTTTTTAACTAAAATATTTGTTAACAATTTCCAGGGACAACAAAGAAATAAAAGTTTTAACAGAACACAAGAAAAAAAAAACGTAAAGGACATTTCCGATTTAAATGTTTGCAATTTTCTTTTCTTTTTTCTGTTTGATATTTTATTAATTCCCAATATTACAAGTAGACATGAAAATTGTTAAAAAAAAAATACAAAGAAAGAAATAAACTGCAGAGAAAAAAACGGAAAATTTCTTACAAAACTGTCAGGATATAAATTGAATATTTTGAAAATTTACACAACATGCAAGGAATCTATTGGCACAATACAATAAAAAAAAATGGTATAATGGTAACGAAAGTGAGAAGCACAGTAAAACAAAACAATTGATTTATAATATCAACTCTTTGGTTCTATCAACCTTCTATTACAATAGTTAAGCATTTTGAACTTTCTAATATTAAGTATATAGTAATGTGAATTTTAAGGATTGAAAGGATTTAAATTTTTAATATTTCCTGCAATTTCTCATTTCTTTTTCTGAAATTTTTAGATTAATATCTAACAATTGTTGATTAAAAATACTTTCTTCACGCAGTTATTGGCTAAGTCAATTTTTGAAATTTTTTTTAATATGACACTTGTACAAGTAATAATTCTTGAAACTGTGCTAGCATACACGATTGTTTGGAAATATCAATCAATTAAAGATTTGAAAGACCCGATACTGGTCAGGATTTTTTCTCGTTTCGCGTACTTTTACGGGAAATTTAAAAAATGATGAAGTGATTTTTTTTTAATGCTATCCCTACAGATAATAAGTTTATGTTTGTACAAATACATGAATTTAGCTTTGTCACAAATAATGTGATTTAAAGACCCTTAACGAATAAATACAAAAAAAAGACTTCTGAATTTTGACTCGTGTTACCAAACATTGCAAAAATATTGAGAAAATTTAATTCGTTCAAAATTCAAATTCATTTAGATTTGTCTAAAACAATTTAGACTTTATTGTGCGGTCCACTAAAGCTTTCAATTTGAAGGAGATTTTATGTTGCTGGATGGATTAAATTATTTATCAATGAATTAATAATTGTTGTTAAAATTAAAAATAGTAGAATTCTCTTGAATCAGAAAATTTTTAAAATCATTCAATAATTATAATCGTAGTTTCCATTGTTCAAACGCTCTATAGAGTCTACAGAAAAATTAAAACATACCTAGAATTAGTTTTATTCTATAGATATGTTTTCATCTTTCCGAATAAAACTAATTCTAGGTACGTTTTCATTTTTCTCTAAAAATTTATTTGAATTGAAGTCTGAAAACTATTTTCTATAATATTTCCTATTGGACTATGTTATTTAATTTTTCATACATTTTTTCCAGCTAAACTTTCTTTTGTCATTGATTCTTTCCACATATACATAAGTACAAAATAATATGTACTTACATACAAATAAGCAATGTCAGATTTTATTTGTCCTCAAGGCATAATATACCATTTACAGACTTCGTACACTGTATTTTTAAAGTCAAATGACTTATTTTCTACAGAACAATGCAAATTCAAAAGGGAAAAAAAAACAAATTGAAGTAGAAAACAATAAGGGTTTTTCCTGTTTCCACTCTTTTTGTTTTAAATTAAGGACAAAATAAAATTCTAAAATAAAAACTGCCAGTTGACCTTTACGCCATTCATTTATTACATACTATATGTTTTTGAACATATGTAAGTATTTGTTAAAGTTAAAAAAAAAATATGTACTTATGTAGAGAAAAATTCATCCTTTTTATGCAAAAATAATGTTAAAATGAATACAGGAATGTGTTAAGAATTTTAACTTTTCACCTCACTTTTGAATTATATATTTTAAAGAGAATACAAAAATTATGCAAAAACAAAACAAAAAGGATTTTTAAAAATTGAAAAGGGTTCCTTCCTTTCTCGTCAACAAAATACTATATTTTGTGCCTAGAGAATTATTAGTCGATTTACAAAAAACTAAAAGCAAAAGTGGAGAAAAATAAGAGAAAAAGGACAAAAAAAATGGAAAGAATATTAAAGGAATTAGGGATTAAAAATAATAAAAAAAATTAAACAAATTTTTTTGTTTTACATTTTTACAAACAACAAAATTCTGAATCCTTCACTTTTTTTTAATAAAAATCATAAATAATTTAAGAAATCAAAAGAGGAATTTGATAAAATTGAATAATTAGAATAAATGTAAAATATTGCATACTTTTAGGTGTTGAGATTTTTTTTTATTTTAGTACATTTACTTCTTATTCTGTTAAAATATGAATTAACAGAATTCTTTTTTGTATTCGGAACTTTAGCTTTTAGAAGCAATCTGAACTTTATTTTATAAAAAATAAAATTTTAATTTTTAATCTGATGATTTACTGCCGGAAAAATATTCTTGCCAAGCTTTTAACTTATTTTTTGTAAATAGAATTTTGAATTCTCTATGATTAAAATTTTAAGTATTCAAAAGATGATTAAAATCAACCAATTTTCTGGTAAGAGATTAATCAAAAAAAAAAGGTCACAACTATAAAATTTTTTCTTAAACATTCAGTATTACTGTAGAGTAATGTTGGCTTCTACTTATTTGTTCTATCTTGAATGAAATCTTTAATATCTTAATTGATTTTTTAAATAACTGAAATGAAATTTTTAATATCTTAATTGATTTTTTAAATAACTGGTAATAAATTTATTTTGTATTAAAATTTTTTTATAATTTTGTAAATTCTAATATTTTAGCACAAAATATTAGAATTTACAAAATTCTTCGCGCAAATTGCAACTCAAATAGTCCATAACTTTCAATTTATGGTTGGTTTTTCGTGAACTGTGACATACTTTTACGATACAATGAATGAATGAAATTAAAGATGTAATTAAGTTTGAACGAAATTAAAACAAAAATAATTAACACATAATTCACCAATCATTCCATTTTCAAATCATTGTAGCTTTGGGGACAGATTTCCTTTTGTTTGTTCATATACCATAGTAGCCCTTTTTCTCGAAAATTATATTTTGTCATATAGGACAAATAAGTACCAGATCGACAATTGGTAATTTGGCTAGATTTTTCAGAACATTTACAATCAAATAATAATTTTATACTGATTAATATTATTTATATTAAAATTATATTTTGAAATTAAATCTGTGGTTCTATAAAACAACTACCTAAGTGGTAAATAACGAAATGTAAATGAAAAAATTCAATTGAGAGAAATGATCATGCATAATGGCACGAGTTTTTTTGTATCGTCTTATTAAAGACAAGTTGATTTAGTTTGCAGTTGACTTTCCTAATTTGTCTTCTAATTTTGAACTTTTGATTTCACTGTTAAAAAAAAAGAGGCTGCGTTTCATCTTTTAATTTTGAAATTACGTGAAATAAGAATTTGTAATAATATTGTGGAATACAGTTTTCCTTTGTAACCACAGATACATAATATTAATTTAAATTTAAATCATTTTTTCCCAAGGTCCCCTGAATGTCATGAATTTTATGTCAATGGGAAACCCATAATATTTATCAGATATATTTTTTTTTTTTTCTTAATGAAACTGTGAAATTCATGACCCTACAACAGTAAATTAATAATTTAATCACTTTATTTTTTTTGAAAATTGATAATAAAATCTACATTTGATTAGGACAAGACTTTTATGTCTTAATACAGTAAAATTAAATTCATTTTGTCAAAATTAACGTGATTTAATATTACCGAATTCAAATAAATATTTTAGTTTCAATCAAAATTTTCAATTGAACAGATGAAATTGTGCTACAAAATGATTTTTAAAATCATATTATTAATGTTAATTGCTATTGTGATCGAAATAAACGCAAGAGTTCGATTTGAAGATTTAGAAAATAAAGAAGAAAGTAAGTTGATATATCGAAGTCGTGGGTCCAAGAAATATAAGTAAAGTGATTTGCACGTAAAGAATTTATGGTTTTAGTCTTAATTAGAAGCGCTGCAAAAAAATTGTAGAATTGTAAAAAAAAACAGTTTTTATTAATGAAGGGTAAAAATCAAATGTTCTCGATCCTTAACTTATACATAATAATTATATAACAATTCATATGCATGGAAAAAAAAAATATATTCATATTATTCTTTTATATTTATAGTAATTGTAAATCCAAAAAGAGATCAATTCAGATATGTACCTGCTATAAGGTATATACACAAGGATTGTTTTGAATTTTGGGTAAGAGCTCCAAGTGCTATACAAATTTCTCTTAGTAATGCTCCTCAATATATTGATCCTAAAATTAATATTGTACTTGGTGATCATTCGAATATGAAATCTGCAATATATATAAATGGAACGTAAGTATATACAAATATACAAATTTATAAAATTTTAATACATATTTTAATATTTATTAATATTTTTAGTAATTTTTGGCTAAGCTCTACACCAAATATTTTGGATACACGTGAATATCGTTCTTTTTGGATAAAATGGTCTATAAAAGGCAAGATTTGGGTTGGTAAAGGAGATGAAATTATGCCATTCATGGTATTTGAAAGTCCGGAGCAATTCTATCCAATAAATTTCATTGGAATTGCATCAATAGATTCTGAGGCATCCTTTGTTGTTAATGAGGGTAATTTTTGTAAAAATGTGAATAAATGTCTTGAAGGAGGTATTGTAACGAAATTACCTAAAGAATAACACAAGTAATAAGTTTTGTGTATATAAAAATAAAAAATGTTCACATTAAATTTGTATAAACATAGCTAGTTTTTGTATTGTTCAATCACGCGCTTTGCTGTTACAAGTAAATCATAAGATAACACCATCAAATATTATTATATAATGTTGCATACCTACAGGAGGAATTTAAAAGTAATACGTGGTTTTCAAAAAATTTATACAAGTTTCAATTTTTAATTGCGGTTTGCTATTTAATCTTCTTAAGATATGGTATACTTTTATGTAAAAAAAAGAGAATTAAAACATTCTGGCTGTTACAGAAAGATGATAAAACTTATAGCTTTAAGATAAAGAAGGGATGTAAAAAAAGAAGGTGAAAGATTGGGACGGGTGATATGATTCCTTTTTTTCCAGAAAAATAAATAATTTACCGATATCTATCAGCATATACTGTAAGAATTTGAGACTTGGCCCAGCTTTCATGTATAAGAGAAAAATTAATCAAAAATTTGTTAAAAACAGGTTTGCGATAAACGATTTAATTTGTAATATAAAATTTTAGAATTAAATTAGGTCGAATAAATAATTCTGTTATTCTTCATTTGTAGAATTTAAGAGTTGCTTTGATTAGGATTTGAAGAACTGGAGGAATACGTAAAAATTTTGTTCAACAGACAGAGAACAAACAGGGGCAAAATATGTTTGACTGAAGGCACATGTTTTCCTTAATTTTTTTTTTATGGAAAAGTGCCAAAAATTATTTTTTTTTTATGTACAATTAAACATCCAATTATATGAAATTTATTTAAATTCACTTTTAAGAACAAAAAAGTCCTTTAACAAAAATTACAAGAAAATTTTCTTTTTTTTTTTTGCTAATGAAAACCAATTAAATTTGCAAGAAGTTTTAAATTATTCATTAACATTTTTGATTTCATTCTTGTTTGTTTTCTTTAATATTATGAAAGAAATATTCTCATTCTTCTGAAGTCTTCTTCTATTCCCTGCGATCCTTGCTTATTTTTTATACAATGAATTTTCCTTTCTTTTTTGTTTTTATATGAATTTCATTTAATTTGGTTGCTCTAAAACAATTAAATTTTAAATACTATGGTAGCTGAAAACTGCAAATAATGTAGTCATGTTTAAATGGTAATTTGAAAAAACAAAAATAAAAACGAAGAGGAAAAGTAAAAAAGGATAATTAGAAAACATTTAGTAATACAAAAAAATTTTTTTTTTGTTTTCAAATTAAAAACTTAAAAACAATTGAAAATAAATGAGCAGCAGCAGCAGCATAGCAGCAAGGCAAGCAGTAAATTTTAGGCTATACAGAGTTTTCAGTTAGCGGAATAAAAGGAAAATAGAAACAAAATTAAAATAGCATCCGGACAATAACCTCAACAATAAGAAAAATAACAACATTAATGAAATAAAATAATTCTTGATTCGAATTAAGAGCATATTATAATTATAAGGAATGGACATAGAACGAGGAGAATCTCATTATAAAACCAGAAATTGCATTGAAAATTAAATAAGGAAATGAGGAAAGAGAAAAGAAAAAAACTATAAATGTTTAAGCTTCATTAACAATGTGTTCAACTGGTCGTATCTGGTATAATTAAAACAGAATTTTTATTTCAATCGGATGCTACGTATTCATTTTAAGAAATGGAGACATTTTTTTTTATTCTTTTTAATAGTTATAGGGACTAATCAAGGTTTCAGATTTATTAAAGGAATAAGTTTTTTTTAAATTTTGTTTTTTAGTCACAAAGTTTGTTTGAAAAATCGAGGCTGAAGCACGAATCCGGATATGTTATAATTTGGAACCTGAAACAACATGGATAGAGTTTTTTGAATTATTAGTATATTATGAAGCCAACATTGATGGCATGTTTCACAGTGAAACCATTATTATTATCCACCAGTACATTTACGCAACAAAGTTTTCCTCTTTGTAATTTATATAGTACAGACAAGAATACACCAAAACTTGACTGTTAAGCAAAGTGTGTTCAGAAGACAAATTATATAATCCGATAAATAAACTTGGAGTGAGGTGAATTTAAAAGGCAAATTATATAATTCGGAGTCATATCGAAAGGTAGCAAACATGAACATCTAACTTTTCTTTCCGATAGCCGATCTCTCATCTTGTATATAAATTTAAGTAATAAAGTTTTAGAATATTGGTATAATTCTATAAGGATTTATAGGTAATTTATAAGTTGATTGTACCTGAAATCGGTAACAGCTCCATAACATAGTCTTGTTTGACCTCACTAAATTTAAAAATTGATTTTATTTATAAACCACAATTCTTTAGAAAAATATCTGTTAATATAAAATATAGAAATACTAGGAAACATGCGAAAGGGAAATAGAGAAACACGTAGCTACTGTGACGAGAAGTAGGAGGAGACGATAACTCAACTCATTTACTCATGTTTAGTTTTGACATGAGAAAAGCGAAGTTTCCTTGACCTACTGACCCTAGGAAAGTAAATTCCAAGGGCCTTATCTAGTGGTTTATAAAGAACTTGGGTGGGTTTAATAAGGAGATTATGAAATACAACAGTATAGCAAAGGGTTTATCTAGTCTAACTGTATCCTACGATAAACGCATCAACTCAATTTAACCTAACTTAAGTGGAAATATTTAACAATTATTCTAATTCAAAAGCAAGTTTTTATATATTTGGTAAAAAATTATTTCGAAATTTTAAGAATTCGATTAAATTATTTGCAAGAAAAATGTTTAAATTTTTTAATAGGCGTGACCAAGAGATGTCAAAATAGGTCTGAAAATTAAAATAAAAATTTGACCTAATTTTTTTTATCAAAATACAATAAAATAGCTTTAAAATTAATTATTGTATTAAAATACATAATCTCATTTCTAATTTATTTTCATGGAAAATTTTATAATAAAAAGTCAAAAAAGGAAACAGCAGGATCTGTTTCCTTGCATCACATTATATAATACACCACATAATACCAATTTATTATTGTATTTCATTGTTTTTTTTTTAAAGTAATTTTTTTTGACGATTTTCTATAAGATTTTATTTTTCATTTTTCAACAACAATTATTATTGGAACTGGATAAAATAAATGAAAGGAAACCAATTTAATTGTATCCTGCTATCATTATCGCTTTCATATAAATTGGTTTATTTGATTACATTTTCGTTTTTGTTCTTATTTTTCATTTTTATCAATGTTTTTGGGTAGACTAATACAAAAATGTTCAATGTCCTTCTACATGATACATAAATGTAAAAATATAGATAATATTCTTAATAATAAAGTCGATAACAGTATCGAAAATATATAGTATAGTTAAAACATTAATAACATATCGAATTTATAGTAGAAAATGAAGAAAATAAGGAAATCGAAGGGGAAAAGCAATAAGAATGGAAGAGAACAACAAAAATTTATTTTCATTATCAGCACTTTGAAAAATTCTCTCTTTTTCTTTGTACAATTTGAAATCACAAATGGAAGATGTTAACATTCCTTTTTTTTTTTTTGTTGTGGTGGTGTTAATGGCTTGTGTTATTTTGATAATCATTAAACTTAAACTATATTATAAGGATAAAAATAAGGATAAGAAATACAAATATAATATGAATGTAGATAGAAGAGTCATTTTATATAATAGACAGACAAATGCAGATAGTAACGATAGTAATGATAATAATATAGATAGTAAAGAGCAGTTTATATAATATAATATAAGTATATTTTTTGGGGGCGCAAAAATTCTTGTATAATCTAATAGTGTGGGTTGAAACATTTCATTGAGTATTTTTTTTTCTCTTGAACAAGAAAGATGATTGTTACTGAGTGAATATAGCTGGGATACGTTTCCTAGATATTTCATATAGGTAGGTATATAATAAGTATTAAAATAATGATTCAACTTGCTATATTATTGTCCCCAGTTCTATTATAATTTCTTAATGTTTTATTATGTTGTTGATGTTCTTGTATAATATGAGTACAAGTATCCTTATATGTGCTCAATAATAATAAAATAACATTTGAATTTTTTTGGACTTTTTTTTTCAAGAAATGTTATCTTTAGAAAGAAGTGTTATTTGGGGTTATATGTTAGTGTTATATAGGGGGCAGTATTGTTATAATAATGTATAAAATATAATATTATAAATCTTTAAAGTATCTCGTTTTATTGGAGAATAGGAAAACATATATGATAAGATGATGCACCAGTTTACAATATTTTAAAGAACATCTGTTGATATTTTTAATGTTAATACATTTCTACTGAAGGCATTTGTGGAAATATTACCAAACAGTAAGTGTAAAAATTAAATTATTTTGGCATTTAAATTAATAATGTGGTACTGATTTTAAATTTAATGTGTTTGAAACATAGAGGAAAATATAGATAAAATTGTCTTTGAATTTTTTACATTTTTCCAAGAAATAGAATTGAAATTGTTAAACTTTGAATCAGTAAAATAATATAAATGTTGTTGCTTACGATATTACACCTCGGAAACATTATATTTTTCTTGTATCATGCTCTTTTCCATATAGTTTAACCGCATTCATACGAATCTTTATTGCTCTCATAGTTTTAATGGCTCTTTTTTATCTAGAATAGTTTATAATAAATAATTCTAAATCTTTTTCATAATCTGTTCGTCTTTGCTGCTTTCCGGTTGTTATTTAAGCATTTTTATTTTTGTTGTAGCATTTAACTATCGCTCATTTTCAGAATTTGTGACTATTTTGTGCATTCTAAGACTTTGATTTTTTAGTACTATATTCACAAATAATTCCTGATTTCCACTTTTGTTATTCTATGAAAATACTGCCTCTAAAGCCATTTCAAAGGTATCCATTCAAAATCACATTGTCGTACTTCTTTTTATACCTAAAATAAATAAAATTAAATTACATTATGTTAAATAATTTTACAGCAAAGTGTTAAAAGCGCAAAATTTCCTTTAAAATAATTTAATTTAATTAATTTTATT